AACTTAGTTTTTAGTTATACTTTATCGAACTAACACGTTATTATTTAATTGCTACAGTGATTGTGGCATCTTCGCAATCTAGTATATAAATTTTTTTAGTATAGCACATAAGGTTGATGGAATTAACCATCCTAAATACAAAATTGGAGTAAAAAGTTAGCGTGTGATTCGTATGAATTCAATTGTGATTCGTAAATATTATATATTCTTCCATTCGAAAATGTAAATATTGATTATTTAATATAAAGTCGTCGTATATTGTATATTATTTATTAAAAATTGTAAATATTGTTCATTTAATTGTGATTTGTGATACATTGTATATTATTTTAATTGTATGAAAACGAAGTATGTGGATCTAATTGCAATTTTCTAATAGTTGATGTGGAACATGAAATTGTGATCGAAGATTAACATCAATAGATTACACATCCGTCTAATTATTATTTAGGGGAATCTCACTTGTACAAAATTAGTGAATATGCCATGTTTCTCTACACCTGCCACACCTACGCAGTTGAGGAAAATCTCTGATAGAGATATTTCAGAATACATGGACTTTCAGACCACGCGGTTCACCTTCGAGTGGCAACAAACTATTAAGTAGGATAATATGATCGGAAACTTCCCATTCAATTTCATTCGGTATAGAGAATATAATCTCAGTATACACTGATCTTCAATAATCATCTGTGTAATAAGGAGAATATAAGGTTATCGCAGCAAAGCCTCTATACATAGTTGTTGCGACTGCATGCTCACACGGAAAACTCTCCGACTGAAATCGACAACAAGTGAATGTGTTATCAGTCAAGTCCATCATGTATACGATATTATGTGTACATTTCATGGAGAAACACAACTCATCCAGTGGTTCCATGTTCAACTTTCTCGCAACCTATACGGTCTTGAAGAGTTTATCCTCCTAAGTTGGGGCTAACACACTTGTGCAATTTTGTGATTCCACACATCGATCGTGAAACCACTGCTACACCTTGTTACGAAGGTTCTCAATTATTGTAATGATTGATAACTCTCGATCCTTCTTGAATAATGCATTGAGAGACTCCGCATTTTTTGACATCATCGTGTTGTATCGACGTCCCAAAAAATGCGACCACGCCGAACGTTCAATCCTCATTTTTGTTACATGATCTCATATCAGGAATGATTTACTTTCTATTTCGACCATGAACTTATTACATTCTTCAACACTATAAACTTATACCGCTCTCCTAAACAATGAAAAGATGTCTTTGTCCCGATATCTAGTTTTCAGGTTGTTTTGTATATGGTACATGCAATGCCCATGATGTGTCTCGGGAAAAACTTCAATGATATCATTTATTATAAACGGTCCCAGATCAGTAACAAAGGCAAAGTCTTTGACGTCCCCAATTACTTCCCTTAACTTTGTGAAGAATCAACACATCGAATGATCATTCTTGCTAACGACTATACCAAATGTAAGAGGGTAAATTTGGATGTTGACATCTTGACATGTAGCAATAATCAACTGCCTTCATAACTAGCTTTTAGATTTGTACTATCAACCAGAATTAGAGGTCGCATCGCATTTCAAAAACTTCAAATGTATTGTTCAAGAGCCATGAAGAAAAACTTGAATCAATTCTCGCCTTCCATCTCAATAAAAAATGATGAGCTAGGATTAGTTGTCCCCATGTTATGGCAATACCTGGTCAATTAGCTTAACTCGCCTCGACCAAGCTCTTAAATCCTCAAACGCGCAGTCTTTGGCCTTTCAGGCCTTCGGTAGCTCATGACCATTCCATACTCGCGAAGGACGTCATTAAAGATGTCCGAAGGTATGTAAATCGTCCATGGATCCCGACACTTGTACATTAACTATTGACCAATAAACCATGCTTGCTTGCATGATATCATTTCGACGAATTCTCACTTCGCAAATATGTTCCCGTGTATACTTGCGAACTATAAATAACTCATTTGTGTCCATTTTCGTTACTCACAAACGCTTATGAAAAATGTCGTCAAAGCATATAATTGTCAACAATGACTTGTTTGATTTCTTTACTTTGAATTTAAAGTTGTATTTCAATGCAATCCGTTGCAAAACTTCCTGCAAAGTTTTCTTTGTTTCAAATAGTTGCTCGACATGTAAATCTTCATCATCGGGTACCACACGCGAAGAATTAGAGGACGGTCCACTCGATCCAATCTCTGAGCTTCCACCCCACTCATGTCTCTGATGGAATAAAGTAATCAAATTCTCATTTGTAAATCTATTTTCATTGTCATTATCGTGAACTATAGAGGGAATTTTGTACGTAACAACGAGATTACGATGTTGAACAATTATCTTGGGAATAACCACATCATCCTTATAGGTTATCTATTATGTGTCCCAAAAATCTTTGGCATTATGATCCCTTCTATCTGAATCTTCGTATTCACCTTCGATGATGTTCTTCTTCATTAAAGTCGCGCAAAGAGAAGTTGTGTGCATTTTATCCAATTCAAATAAATAATTCACTTGAACGTCAGAAGTAACTTTCATAGGTTTTGATTATAAAAAAGAATAGTTTGAAAAATCACCATTACCACTGGTCAACATGATTTTTAATTAAAAAAAATGTCAGACCGGCTGTTAACAGTCGCCCTAAGGGCTGCACAGACTATTGACAGTCGGCCCGGACCATCGATTTTTAACAGTTGGTGGTCAACTGGTCATGCCGTCTTAACCAGGTGTTAGCAGTCGGTCCAGTCCTCTTTGTACATTGCTTTGAATCTCGTCTAAAAGAATATACATGCAAATGAATTTTTTCTTCATTTATACTTAAAAAAAATTTATCTACATATTAATCTATGTCGAATTAAGATTTATCAATTAAAAAAGTATACTAATTTAATGAAAGCGAAATTAAACATACGTAAATATACTTACTGATTCGAAGTTACATATATAAAAAAAATATTTTCTTGTCATGTGTTTTATAAATTTTTGAGATTTGGAGATTAAAGTATATGAAAAATGAGAGAGTTTTTATCCGTGTTGGAATAAATAGAGAAGAAAAGTTGCTGATTTTGAAATTTTGAGCGAGAAATGTTTGATTTTTACTTGTTAACTAAAATGATATTATTGTCTTTTAATCACAACAATATTTTGTAATTGTATAATATACTTAAGGACATCTTTGTCTTTTAACATCCAAAAGACCATTGTGCAAATATACAATTATCGAAAATTCAAATTAGAAATTAGGGGATTTGATAAGCCAAATTTAAAAGTACCCCAGTAGGGGCATCTACGTTTTTGGGCGATCCATGTTAGGTCCACGATCTTTCATCTTAATTTTTAATTTCTTTAATAATGTTAAAAATACATTTTTTCCAGTGGCATTTGGCCTAATTTTGTATTTCTCAGTTTTAAAGCTAATATTGTTTAATTTAGCTCTATTTTGTACAATGGTTGTTTAGCCATATTTAATAATCATTATTTTCAAACTCTTTTTTTTTATACTTATTTTTAATCACATTAATACAATAAAATATTCTACACATAAATTCAAAATTTTCCCTTACTTTTTATGTACAACTTCTCTTAGAATCACTATTTAAAGCATAGTTTTTTGAAAATAGTGAGTAACAACCATGGCTAATAATACCGACCAGGATTGATTGAATTATACATGAATTATGCAAAGCACGGGCTTGATCCATCCTCGGGATTGAATCCCACTTGCACCCACATCAGGTGTCATACAGCATCTCTCTCTTTTTGTATTGCAAATAAACAACAAATATCATATACCATGTTAATGTCCACATTTGCACCCCATTTTCAGGATTCTGTCCATTCAAGAATCCTATGCTTTTTTTTTCCCATATCCCTCACCTTTTCACTGCTTTTATATATATCATAGGGCCATAGGCTGTGCACCCTGTTAGAGTTAGGTTTTCCTTTACAATTTGGACTCGAGTCTAGAAATACAAAATGATTTGTTGACTTCAAAATCCAAAGAACACATTGCCAAGAGAATCACGGTTACCTCCCTTTCACGTAAGCATAATCTATACGTTGGAACATACCATTGGTCGAGAAAAAGTTTCGATGATGGTTTTGCACTCCAAAGTCAAGTCGACGGCCGAATGAGAGAGATTGACCGCAAAAGACGTTGAAAGGGATTTGACTATGGTTTAGAATGCATACCTCAAGTGAAATGAGTTCCCACGTGTATAGAGAAAGGAAAATGGGCCAAGATAAGTTAGTGGACCGAGTTCAAACCCAAGTCCAAGAAGAGGTTGCTTGATATTAACATCCCAATTCAATAGATATAATCGATTGTCAAGTCGGCCAATGTGGGACCCCAATGAATACAAATCACATCCAATATTGTTATTCCCTATGTGAACCCATATATTCATTTCTACATCAAACAATTTCTCGATTTCCTCTTAGCAATATGCAGTATATGTAAATCATAGATGCCGGCATATGACAAAGTCAATAACCTCTTAGGACAAAATAAATAGTATTTGTTCGTCAAAGAGTATGCGTATATATAAAATAAAGAAAACATTAATAAATTGTAAGAGTCAAATAAAAACATTCCCTGCTATGTATAATTTTTGCCCAAGACATTTACAAAGGAACTCTTTATCAGTCTTTACATATACAACTTTATATGCAAAATTTACTTCTTGAAATAGACTTGGAATGGATTGATTCTCTTTATACATGATAGTGTGTATGCTTTCCAATTTTATGCAATCAATATAGAAAAGAGTGCAAAGAAAGACACACACGCATATATAGGTGTGGTCCCTAGCATTAATGAACGTAACTATAAGCAATAAGTAACTCCCAAAAAAAGTGATTTTCATCCAAAATGAGCAGGAGTCGCCCTTTAGTTTCTCTTATTATTAGAGATTAATCAAGAAATACAGCCATTTAGTAAAAAGACTACAACATAAAGCATTTATTAGGTATATTAGGGTGCCAAGATTTTTAAACTGTCCTAACCTTGCCAAGATTTCGGGTTTTCTATTTCGTTTCGATCCTCATAAGAAGTCTTCATGCAGTTATGATCAAGGCCAGTAATACTCAAAATGTCACTATGAGAAATAGGCCTTAATCCCAAGAAATCCCTTGTAGTTCCATCAATTCCACCACCTTCACTTGTGCTAAACTTATTATGGGCTGCATGAAAAATTTCATCTTTCTTTAAAGAATTGAAGATCCCACCAAATGCATCTTCAAAAGTTGATCCTTCAAATCCAGTATTGTTCATCAGCATGTCATGAAGCAAAGAAGGTCCACTTCCACCACTTTCACCTGCTGCTGGTGCACCTGTGTCTGTACTACCTTTCAGTGCAGCTTTATTCCCATATAAAGCCAAGCCATCGATGAACCCACTGGCCATTTTCTCACGTGAGGACAAGTTTAGACCAAAACCAGCTGTTGTACTATGAACAGAATCTGCAGCGGACATGTGATCTTGGTGGGGTCTAATAAGCATGGCCGCCAGTGATGGACATGGGCTAGTTTTTGCACCCATTTGTGTAGCTTTCTGTAGCAATGCAGTGGCTGAAACATGAGGAGATGCAGCTGAGTTATAAGGTAGTAGGGTTGAGGCCCTTGAGGGTCCATGGCCACTACTAGGGTTAGGGTTTTGATTCTGAGAAAATAGTAGCTCATCCCGAGAAAATTCTTGATCTAATCTAGGGTTGAGGATTGACGGAGAAAGGTCGATTAGTGGCGGGCCAGAGCCAGGAGTGGGTCCAGGTCCCAGTGCTGGTGGACAAGAAGCTAGCCATGGTGGAATCTCAGGTCTAGAACTGAAATTTTGTTGCTCTTTTTTTATTGGGAATGGGAAATTATGAGCATTGAATTGGGGTGAAACTTGAAGGTTTATATGGCATGTTGAAAAACTTGCTTGAGATGTGAGAATTGGGGTGTTGTTTCTAGTTATTGTTTTTGCTCTCTCTTCTGCTAGAGCATCACAAAAGGTTCTGTGAGTAATAAAACTGTCCCTCCTGAAAAATCAAGAACAAAAAATAGCATACATAATGAAGAAATCGAGAAACTGAACTCATACACAACATCTAAAACTTCTTCAAATCTTAAAAAATGGATCTTAATAGACGAGCCGTATATCGAGTACAAGGCTTAATCAGCACACACAGATTCTTATTAGCTATTTCCATTTAGAATTTCTTAAACAAGCATCTCTACTGAGTTTGAATTATATAATTAAAAATGAATAAATATAAACTCTCTCACATGTTTTGAAATTTGAGTCTTCACCATACAATTAGTCCATCAACAAGATAATTTCAAGAATGTCCCTTCTTATCATTTCTATTTATATATTGTATACATCTTCACCTCCCACCCCACCCATCTCTAGCTAGAATGAAGTGATTTATGTTATACCTTGAGAAAAGGGTTCCACAGTCACATCTGTACTCCCTAGTGCCACAGGTTTTGGAGTGGGCTTTCCAATCAGATTGAACTGCATATTTCTTTGAACATTTCTCACATTTCCATTTCTTCTCCCCATGTTTTCTACAAAAGTGCTTCTTGATCCCTGTTAGGTCCCCAAGTGCCCTTGATGGATCATGGTGTACACAAGTAGTTTCTGGGCAAATATATACTTTCTTCCTCACTTCTTTACTTGTTCTCTGCTTAAGCTTCCATGGCAAATTGTGCCCTCTTCTGTGAAGTTGAAGATTCTGATCTCTTTGAAACCCTTTGTTGCAAATTTCACACACAAATCTGTTGGTTGCCAAGAGAGTTCTTGGTGATAAAGCTATCACTTCTGCACCAGGATCTGGTCCAAAACCACCGAGATTTTCAATTTACCCCCAAAAAAGTTACTTATTGACAAAATAATCAACTAATTAATTACCTGGATTGCCTGGTTGATTTCTCTTTTTCTTCACAAGTTGAGGCTGAGACTGATCATTTGCTGGAGGAAAATACTGAGGTGGGTACATTACACCATTATCAGTTTTGTTAGTCGAAGAAGAAACGCTGGCTTCACCAGAGGCAGAAGTCAAATTCGACATATTTTCTTCGACGAGGGGATGTGATTGTTGGATTGCTAAACCTTTCATCATCTCTCTCTTTTCTTTACTTTTTCACACTGCAAGCAAACATCAGCAAAATTAAGGGTAAAAATCTAAGTGGATGAGGCCTCAGATCTTAACTTTTTCTTGAATGTAAAGCCAGGATATTTGAGTTTAAAGACAAAACTACAGACCTAGAAAAAAGCTAAAGTTGGTTAAAACTGGACAAAGTGAGATAGAAAATCAGGTGACTAAGCACTTATTTTGCTTCTTGATTATGGCTGCTTCTTCTTCCCTCTTTGGCATCACCCCAGGAGACAACTCTTGTTTCTTCCAAAAACAAAACACACTATTTTCCCTTCATGATTCAATGGTTTTTCACCTTTTGTTGCCAAAAAGCTTAGAAAAATCAAGCACCTATAAACATGCATATAACAACAAATACATAAAAACCATCTTCTTCAGTGTGTGTATGGTGTGTGTGAGAGAGATATATAGATATAGAGAGAGATGTGGATGAGAAGAAAGCCCTGTATAATCCTCCACCCTCAACAAAAAAATCCACACCCCAAAAGCATCACAGCCTTACTACTACTAGTTCTGACGTGCACTTTCTGTCTTTAGTTTTGTTTTCTTCTCACAACCCCAGAAAAGTCTGATATTTCTTTATTGTAATGTTTTAACTTTATTAAAGTTTTAATTATTTTTCGCTACACACTTTTTCTCCACTGCAAACCATCTAATAAAGTAATTCAAGAAAGCAACCATTTATAAAAGAGAATAAGAATTGAATATACAGAAAGTGACATTGATTTGAATTATTTCCCTGTAAAACTACATGACCACTCTTTCCAACTTTCTAAATTTTACAGTCTATATGATTGAGTCATTGATTAACGCAAGCTTATAATTAAAGACTCAATTATAATTTTTTGCTTCCCTTTTCATTTCATCATCAGTAAAACTCAATTTTACGGACAGAAACTCAATTCCATGTCTTGTCACTTGTTTCAAGTTGATCAACGAGAGGCACGACTTACTCGTTATGTTAAGTGTAATTGTCATTGTTATTAAAGATTAAATAATGCAACCATAAATTGAGCAATTACCAAGAACTTTCTTCTTGCTTTTTCATAAGGATTAGAAAGACGAGGGATGAGAGATGATCGACTCTATCATACTAATGAAAAATATATTATGAAAGAACGTTGTATATGTCAAGATAGATGTTTTGTTAAAGTTGTTAAGTCAGACTTATCAGTTCCCCCTAATTCTGCAACTCACTAATTGTGCAGCCACTAATGAACCAAGATAGGAATTCCAGCATTATTCTTATAGATGTCTGATATCTTTTCCTCTTTATTAATCTTTCTACGATAGCTTAGGTTCTATACTTGGTCTATAGATCTATCTAGTTGTAAGATACAAATTGTATGTCTCCATAATTTCTATATAATACATGCTATACAATAGGTTTGGTACATCAACCAAACCTTTCTCCTGCAATTCTTTCTTGGTATCAGAGCATGATTTGCTTAAGCCCGATTCTGTTAAAACTATGTCGTCTTCCGCTGCAACTTTTGTTCCACCAAACAACCTAGTACAGTTTGTTTCTATGAGATTTGAGGGACCTGTCGGCCTCTTACTTAAACTGGTCCTCTCAAATTGAAGGTGTTCTTAGTATTCATGATCTTCTAGGCTTCGTGGATGGTAATGAACCGTGCCCAGAAGAGTTTTTACCTCCTACTCCTGGTAAAGACACTCGTGAAACTAGTCCTGACTTCATCCTATGGCATAAAAAAAAATCAGTTTGTCATGGTTTGGATGAAGTCTACCATCCCGGAGAAGGTCCTCTCTATGGTCTATCGCATGAGGGTCGCTCGACTAGCATGACTTGCTCTAGCAAATTTGTTTACGTCTCCCTCAACCTCTAATGTCAATCCATTGAAACGCCAACTGCAAGGCTTGCAACAAGGAGGTAAAAACTGCTCAGAATTTATTGAAAGTGCAAAAAATATTGCAGATCAATTGGAGGCTGTAGGCAAGCCAGTTGAAGAGAAAGACTTAATCTTCCACATTCTTGGAGGTCTTAGCATTGCCTACACACCTTTTACCTCTAACAGCTATTTTGCAAAACGTGAGAAGTCTCTATCCCTTGCTGAATTTCAATCTGAGTTATTTGCATTTGAGGCCCCTTTTGAAACTCAACAGCGAAGTGTACAAGTTGACCATAATAACTTTGCTATGATTGCAAATAAACCCGATGGAGGAAAGAATGGGAAAAAGAACAACCGCCGATGGTGTTGGGACCCTTTGAACCCACATGTTGTTAAAAACCGGAAGAAATTAATGGAGCAATATGAAATATTGATCGCTAACCAAATAAGAATAAGATTTAAAGTAAAGAAAAGAAAAAATTGGCGGAGGAATCGATATTTTATTAAACAACCAATGGAAAGAAAATACAATTTCAACAATTTCTACTCTCTAAAACTGAATGAATAGTCTACTATTTATAGGGAAGATATCCAAACCCAAAATGGAAATAAGATTAAAAAAAAAAAATCATATGAAATAAAGGAAACAATATTTTTTCAAATACATGCAAAGAAGAAAAAATATATTCCCAAAAATTCCAACTTAATTTGGGTCACAAAATCCAACAATATCCACCTTGACACAAATTCCGGTGCAACGAACGAAACTCCAAAATTTCTCCACCTGAAAAAATAAGTTCGACTGCATCAGAATAAACCAATCTCTTCATTCAGTACCAAAACTCTCCACCTCACGAAAAAATCACTTCTGCCTAGTGTCCACAAGCGACACTCGAACCCAACCCCGGATTTCCAAAATTCTAACAAAGAATTCAACAAATACCAAACAGGGACAAAGCATACCCTATAGCAGAATCCATACCAAATGTTTGAACGGTAGTTCAAAAACTCTCCACTTCACCAAAATCATCATCTCTGCCCAGTGTCCACAAGCGACAACTGAACCCAACCTCGGGTTCCCAAAATTCCAACAAAGATTTCATCAAATACCAAACAGGGTCGAAGCATACCCTTTAACAGAATCCATACCAAATGCTTGAACTGAAGGCCCCTTGTTAGAACTGTCACCTTCAAACACCCCGAAAACATTATCACACACATCTGAAACCTGGTACCTATGTTCCATGAGTCCTCCCCTAGAAAATGACTCAAAGCCCAACACAAAAGGTACTATGCCGAACTGGATCTCTTCCACTATACTAAACATGTCCAAATGTCTCTTCACTAGTTCTGTGCGCCCCTACAGGATATACAGTTGAGAAATCTTTCGTCCTTCCAGCACAACACGATGACCCCTTTGGACTTTCAAGACTCCACCTCCACCGAAGAATGTATACCCATTAGAATTCAGGGTACTCAGCGAGATGAGATTCTTCTTTAAGTCTAGAACATGTTGAACCTGGCCAAGAACTCGAACTGTCCCATCCAATAACCTCAATCTGACCCGACCAATTCCAGCAACCCTATAAGATTGGTTGTTTCCTATGACAACTCCACCTTGCTTCACCGTTTCATATGTTCCAAACTAGGCCCTATTGGGATTCATATGGAACGAACACGCTGAATCCATAATCCACTCCTCATCGGACTTAGATTCCATGTCAGAATCGGTCGGCACCACATCTTCACCATCCAAAAATCTCTCGGCAATATTAGTCTCGTCCGAATGATCAGATTGTCTCCTATGATATTCAGGTAAATTACATTTACCATGCAACTAGTCGCAATCCTTCTTGATGTGTCATTTCTCCTGTAGTAGAAGCAAACCTGATTGTTGAAGTTCACCTTCGACCTACCCGTCCTTCGATCACCGTACGAAACCAGAGCTTCCTCGTCCTTAACTCCAACGATATGCTTCATCTTCTCATTTGAAAATAAAGCGTCATAAACATCGTCAATGGTGAGTGTCATGACTGTACAAGATTGTGTCCCTAAACGTCGAATACGAAGCGGCTAGTGAGCACAACAGGATCAAGGACAGATCCTCTTCATCATCCTTGACTTCTAACGTTTTCAGATCAGCGACAATTTCCTTGAACACAGCCAGATGGTCCTCCAAAGAACTCCCTTCTGCCATGCGATGAGAATAAAGTCTCTGCTTCATATGCAATTTACTCGTCAATGTCTTCGTCATGCACAGTTGCTCCAGTTTTAACCACAATGCAGTAGCTGATTTCTCCTTAACCACGTCCTGAAAAATGTTGTTAGAAAGATGAAGATGAATTATAGACAGGGCATCCGATCCTTCCATTGCTTCTCCTCTATTGTCCAAATTGTTGGCATTTTATCAAAATTCAACACAGCATCGTCCAAATCCATCTGCACTAGAATTGCTTTCATCTTTAATTACCACAGAGAAAACTTTGTATTGTGATCCAAAAGCGGAATGTCATACTTCATGGCAGCCATGGAAACTAGAAATCTCAAATAAATTCAACAACCTGTAACTCTGATACTACTTGTTGGGATCCTTTGAACTTACATGTTGTGAAAAATGGGAAGAGATTAATGGAGCAATATGAAATATTGATCGCTCACCAAATAAGAACTTTCTTTAAGTCTGGAACATGCCGAACCTGGCCAAGAAATCGAATTGTCCCCACCAATAACCTCAATCTGACCCGACCAATTCCTATACCAATAACCTCAATCGAACTGTCACATCCAATAACCTCAATCGAACTGTCCTAAACCAATTCCAGCAACCCTATAAGATTGGTTGTTTCCTATGACAACTCCACATTGCTTCACCATTTCATATGTTACAAACTATGCCATATTGGGACACATATGGAACAAACACGCTGAATCCAGAATCCAATCCTCATCGGACTTAGATTCCATGTCAGATTCGGTCAGCACCACATCTTCGCCATCCAAAAATCTCTCGGCAATATTAGTCTCGTCCAAATGATCAGATTGTCTCTCATGATATTCAGGTAAATTACATTTACCATGCAACTAGTCGCAATCCTTCTTGATGTGTCATTT